TTTTTCGATTGAGCCTAATTTTATCAAAATCGGAAGTGAAGATCGTATTCTAAATAATTATTAAATTATTTAAATAATTTTTATTTGATTTTTTATACTTTTTTCTGTTTCTCTTTTCAATATATATTGAATATTGCATATCACCACATAAATCAATAAAAAATATATGGAATTCATAGAATGGACTAATCTTATTGTGTGACATAATCTGTGGTGATCACGTGACATTGATTGTAAAAACAACCAAACAAGCCTCAATTTAACCGCTTCGAGACATTAAAGTACAAGAACTTTGGAATGAGTCTTCGGAATAGGAAAACTTCGTAATAGAAGAGTTCCAGTGTATTTGCCGAAGTAATTACGCGGGATAGCGCATATGCAGATGTCCTTATAACGTGCAAATATCTGATATCAGATGTTAATCTTATCATATCGATTTCTTTCCTAAAAAACACCTGTTATACGCGCGTTAATACGCATTTAAACTTCATTATTGTTCACTGTATCCTATATATTATTTTAATTGCAGTATGTTGAGTGTCGCGAGATTTCATACGAAAATACTAGGAGCGTACAACGCTACAAGACAGATACTTAGCCGACAATACTTGTTCACTAACGCGAGAACCGATGTCGTGCGATACAATATTTCCTCGAGGGAATGCCGATCGTTCCTATTACAAAAGGTAATAAAATTACATCTCGATATATACAATAATGACGCATGAGTTTCAATAAACTGAAGGATGTATCAATTTTAACAATTGACAGAGATCATTCAAACAAGAGAACGTCGTAACTCGTAATTATGCCTCAAAGCCAAATAGTAAACATGACAAAATCGTGGGGTCTTGGTTGCTCATCTGTGGTGGCATGGTTTTTGTAGCAGTAGCACTAGGTATTCTTGTTTACTTTGTATACTACCATTATGTCTGCGTCGTGATAAAGATTATTGTAGAAAAGACATATGGAAAGTAGAGTTTCAAATATGTAATAGATCCTTTCCATCTTCTATTGATAATTTGACATGCCAATATCTACATGCAATTAAAATTTATGTAACATTCAATTGTATGATAAACATTAAACTACATGTACAAATAAAATATATTTGTGAAATGATCCTAAATTGTTTCTTTCTTCTATGTATTTAGGCGGTGTAACAAGACTCACTGAATCAGGCTTGTCCATGGTTAATTGGAAATTGCTGGGAGAGAAAATGCCTCTCAACGAAGCTCAATGGCTCTCTGAGTTTGAACATTATAAGCAGTTTCCTGAATATAAAATGTAAGAAATAATGTTCGCAATGTTAGTGATGTGAAACAGCCATATACAAGTACAAGCCAAAGTATAGCTAAATAATTTATAAAGATACAATATATATGCTGTACTTGTAAATTTTGCTTTAGATCTAACTATGATATGACGTTGGAGGAGTTCAAACGTATTTGGTGGATGGAGTACTTACATAGAACTTGGGGACGTTTAATTGGCGCCGTATTTGTAATTCCAGCAGCATATTTTTGGTATAAGGGCATGCTGCACCTTGGAATGAAAAAACGTCTTGTTATATATGGATCGCTGCTTGGTCTACAAGGTCTTATGGGATGGTATATGGTTAAATCTGGATTAGAGGATCGTTTTGTAGAACCTTCCGATATACCGCGGGTGTCGCAATATCGTTTAGCCGCGCATCTCGGATTAGCATTATTTTTGTACTCTGGATTTCTTTATAATGCTTTATATTATCTCATTCCTGCTCAAAAGCTAACTGTTGACCTTTCGGGAACAAATACGCTGAAAGCATTGAAAAGGTTTAGAGGATTAATCTACTCGACAAAAGGATTGGTATTTTTCACTGCTTTATCAGGAGCATTCGTAGCTGGAATGGACGCTGGCCTTATTTATAATACTTTTCCAAAAATGGCAGATAAATGGATACCTGACAATATACTTGCCATGTCCCCTGTATTAAAAAACTTTACTGAAAATCCAACTACAGTTCAATTCGATCACAGGATTTTGGTAAGTATATATTGTCGCTAGTTTATATTATTTTACATTATTTTACATGTACATCACTTATGCAGGGAGTCACTACTCTAGCATTAATTACTTGTGTGGGTATTCTGTCTCGTAAACATAATCTTCCCGGTCGGGGAAAGAAGGCGGTAGCTGCGATACTTTGTGCTGGTTACCTTCAGGTACTTTTAGGCATCTCAACTTTATTATACCAAGTTCCTTTATCGCTAGCCACGTTACATCAATCTGGTAGTCTTATACTTTTAAGTACTGCAATGTGGGCGGCTCACGAATTGAGGCATTTAGGAAAATATGCTAAACAAATTGTAAAATAGTGACTATAATATATATTACAGATTTTTGTAATATTTTTTACAGATTAAAAATAAAAAGAATATTTATTTACAAAACAATTATGGTCTTTTCCTTATTTAATCTTTGTTATATCATTTACACTTATATAGTCATTGAAATAATAGGATAGAGTTCTTTCGCTTTCATAACGATTTTCGCGTTTTATTTCACAATATATGTTATAATAATTAGTGTTTAATCTTAGGAACTATTATATATACGCAACTTTGTTTTCTAAACAACATGTATATTATCAAACATATGTAACATGAAATAATTATTCTGTATAATTTTTGTATAATTATAATTAATTTTATGTTTACAAGAAGCAATACGATTTTGAAAAATATCAGTGCGCAAAGATCGTGAAACGCATATTATGCATAACAATTGTTCCAAAACAAAATTGAGTGGTTCGATATCAATTAGTTATTCTGAAATATGTGTGAATTATTCCTAAGCGAGAAATAACTCTTTTATATTATTAGATATAATTTATTATTTAACTCAATCCTTCTCAGAAAATATTTTTACATATAGGGCACTTATTCTATTCATATATGGCCAATTATTTGTTGATTTTAAAATACTTCGCATGCATTGGTCCAATACAGTATTATTAATATTAAGTACCATTTTTATCAGGCAGTTAAAATTACATTTTCTTATTGTAACAATTTGCATATATTTACATAAAAGTATTTTCTTCCTATTTTGGCGACGTTTGACATCTCGCTTTAGCTTAATATTAAACTGAGCGCTAGTATTAATAGAACTTGCATTTTACTGTTAGAGATACGAAAAAGGTATTATTCAAAACACGGCCAAATTTTATATTAATTATCGTTACACATAAATATTACATATAAATATACGTGAATTGTATAATCTATAAATCTTATTTAATATCTTTTGAACTTGTCATTATGCTCTTGTGTATTGCATGCCACTCGATAAGAGAAATAATGATTACTGCGCTCAATTTTTATCATATAAATTTTCATATTAGTACTTCTTTTATAATTTGGACACTTTTAAAACTTTTACGAAGTAATTGTATTCACTAAGCTTAACATCAGTTTGATAAAGATTTATTACCGTTATTATGACTCTTCTGCATTGAACAGTACTTAATAATTAATACTACATATTAATATGCGTATAAATGCATAATTTCTCCATCAATTTTTCGAATAAAATCTCTTTGTCGTTTTTTTTTGTGAAAAAGAAATTTTCGTCTCATTAACATCTTTAGAAGAAAGAAAGAGATATCATAGCTGGCAAAATTAGATATCAGAGCTATTAAAATATTGAAATTTTAATGAACTAGTTGAAACTGGGCAGTGCAGATTTTTATACGCACAATTTAAGTGATACATATAAAATACAAGATTATCATCAAACTGTCTCATAAACTGTCACAATAATGACAATCATTGACTTGTTTGATGCAAAGCACTCTTTGAGAACTTGTCTCTAGTATATACAATATATATATATATGCAATATGTGTACATATATATTGCATATATGACAAACCTATTGGCTATATATAATTCGTAATTTTGTTTATGTGAGATAAATGCAAATTTACCCTTAGTCTTATCATCATAATTCTCTTCTAAATAATTCAATTGTCAAAATTTTATTTAACACCTTAACTATTCTTACAAAACAATGTTAGGCCTACAAAAATTTAGATGAGAAGATATAATATAACGTGAGTACAATAATTTAAAATTATTTTACTACATGTGTTAGATAATAGGACAATTTGTGTATTAAAACAGAGATATTAGTTTGATGAAGAATATACATAGTAAGAAACTGAAAAATAGATTCTTACATTATTTCCTTACGTAAGATTAACCCGTGACATAAAATTACAAAGAAATAAGTCAATAATTGCAAGTAGAATATAGAGCATTAAATGAATCCTAGGTATATAGTATTTTGCAATGAGTATTATATTTTCTTTTTCTTTCACTATTGTCCATTGAATATAGTTATTTCCCTCGTATTCGTACGTGATGTAATGACAATGACGCAAATGGATAAAAAGGTTTCCATTTCCCCTGTTTTGCAAAAGCAATATCTTATACTTTATATAATATATATATATAAAGTATGTATATAATGATATATATTTTCTATATACATATAAAATATCTCACATAATGGCCGTTTTGTTTTAATGTATTATTTAATATGTCACTTCTTATGAGTTCGATAATCATAACAAAAACGAAAAGATTTTGATAATGTAAAATTGCACAAACTTACATGTAAAAAATGGTATGTTCATATATATGTATATATGTATGTGTGTGTGTGTGTGTGTGTGTGTGTGTGTGTGTACACATACACATACACACACACACACACACATACAAACACACACACATATATATATATATATATATATCTTGAGTAAATATAAATCATATCAGTCAATTTTCTTGCTGAAAATATAATACATCGAAGAAAGCTGAATTTGTAATGATATGTTTTTTTATTCTATTAATATTTTCTCTCTCTTTTTCTCTCTCATTTTTTACACTGCAATAACGTATAAGAATAAACGTATATATAGAAAAAAAAAGATCGATTGCACTTAACTCGCGATTTAGAGAAATTTGTAATGAAAAATTTTGTTATATCCATTTTCCTTTAAAATAATTTATCACTCGCGATAATTATGACAAAAATTAAAAATCATATTAATCTTTGATATATAATCAACAAGTTTTGTTAACAAGCGTAAAAGTATGCTGATTATTGCTGATGGAACGTAACATTTTTGCTTACGTATCAGCTCAACTAGTCTTTCCAGAGATGTTATCTGATCTTTCTGGATTTACGATTACTTGTATTATATAACCTGGCTGTATCTTTGCCTCTTCTATATGCATCTTATCACCAAGCAATTTGCCACCAAAGAACCACCTTTGACGTGATGGTTCCAAACCTTCTTGACTCTATAAATATTAATTATTAGTTAGCAATTATTTTCATCTTTAATATCCTCAATTAAATCTATATAACTGACAATATGCAAACCTGTAATTTTTTCTTAGCAATAGCAATAGTGTCATTGCTATAAACAGGTAGTTTAACTTCTCCTAAAGTAGTTGATAATCTAAGTTTTAAAGTTTGTTCTGTTCCTTCATTGACCGGTTCTACACAGAATTGATAGAAGATAAGAAATTATATCGTAAATTATTGCATTTGGATATAATATTTTATTACCTGAGCAATCAGCAGGTGAGTCTCTTCCACTATCTTCTTTAACGATATTAATTGGGTAGGATAAGCAATAAATAGGTACTTGATAACGAGTGCCCAACTCGTCATAACATTCAGTTAAGAAACCATTTGGTACAGAAATATTAGCTCCGTCTAATATAGCCTGTGCCAACTGATAATCCTGTGCCTCTGCTGCAGTCGCGCCTGCTCTCAATGCATCCCAGATCTCTTTACGACCATCAAATGCTGGTGCTGTATCCCAAAACTCATCTCGTTTACTTCTCAATTGACCCTCGGTTAGAGGTACATCCGATTTCCATCTGATTACCTCGTGACATAGAAGATGATTTTTTCTTGTATTTCCTGCGCAAATGGATAAAAATTCATTTATCAAAAACTTCAAAATATTTCTTATCAGATACGTTTCTTATTATGTATCACAAAATTATCATATAAATAACAAATATCTATGTAATAGCAATAAACAGTCTATTATTTTAAGTGTTTTTTATACGCTTTTCTTTTTGAAAATTGTTGAATGGTAAGAGCATTTCTATCTAATCAAATTTAAATTTTACAATAAGTAGAAAATTATTGGTCTAATATCTATATAGATTAATTTCAGTTTAACACACTTTTTATCTTTTCTTATTTCTAAGAATTAAAAAAATATAGGAAGCAAATTAAGATTAAAATCAAGGTAATGATAGAAATCGGCATGAGACCGTTAGAAAGTACAGTAAAAATCTGCAATATACTTCGTAGAATCTGCACATCCACTGCTGTCACGTTGACTATGTAATATTATTCAAACCTCATTTTCGTATATGTCGAGTTTAATTGAGCAGACACGAACGATATATACGCTTAACAGATAACATGCATCTCAGATACAAAGGCAAAAATAAAGTTGAAACAATTTCAAGGTTAGTTGATGTTCAATGCATTTTCGACAGATATATTCGGACGGCGATCTCACCCGAATTAGTTCTGCTCGAATTTTCCGACGTATCATTGATTGAGGCATTTCTTGCCCTAGTTATGCCTATGCAGCCTCCCATTCTACACAACCGGAGCGAGTAAACATTTCACTAAAATTTAATAACACTTCGCATGCCATTTTCTTCCATCTTATCCAATCGAATTCTCGCCGTGGCCATATTGCATGCTCTCAAAGAGAAATGGGGTTCGTGTCTCCGCTAAATGAGATTCGAATCTTCGCTACGTGGGGTTCGAGTCCTCGCTAAGAGGATTCGAGTCTTTGCCGCATGGTGTTTGAATCTCTATTAATTTAAGTGAAAGTTTCCACCTGTTGCGATCATAGACTTAGTTTACACTTAGCCGTCCAATCCCGGTTCACCTCAAAATGAAATGGATTTAGGGAGCGTTTACACCGGATTGATCTTACTCCGCTAAGAAAAGAGGATTAAAGTGAATCGAAATTAATCCGTTTACATTTAAGAAATATTACTTCATTTCGAAGTGAATCGGGATTGGCTGGGAACGGCTGGGTGTAAACTAAGTCATAGACATAATATGCCTAGATCGAGAATTGAAGAGGGATTGATGCTACATAGAAAAAGATAAATTCTGTTTTGTGCCTTCGCGTTCTCTCTCATTCGCATATGCATATAAATCGTACATCTGTAAGTAGGGATCGTAAGTAGAGGCGTATATTTTGTATGCATACGTGAACGAGAGAGAGAGAGAGAGAGAGAGAGAGAGAGAGAGAGAATGCGAAGGCACAAAACAGAGTATATCCTTTTCTACGTACACATCTACCCCCACTCCTCGAATAAAGGCAAACACTCGGTCTAGGTAAACTATGTCTATGGTTGCGACATATTTTTGCTGATCATGTAATCTTCGACTATATTCTATAGCTCGTTTATTATTCAAATAAATGACAAATTGATCATTATTTATATTGTACATGCTCTATCATTTTAAATTTTAAACAAATAAAATGTTTAATTCTTTTTTTACAAAATTGCTTAAATACAAAAACATTTGGAGGATTTGAAATATTTGGAGGAAAATAATAAATGCTAAATAATAATCATATCCTAATTTGTTTTAATTCGAGGTAATGTTTTTAATATTACTAATAATTCCTGTCAAATGAAAATAAAGGCGCATTTGCTGTGCGATTAATTGTAAAATTTTATTTAATGAATCTTGTTGTAAATTAAAAAAAAAATGATAACATATTCTACACAAACTAAAGCTTAATAAGCATTTATTTTATTTAATAATTTTTATATTAAAATTATTTAAAATTATTACTATTATTAATTAATATTTTAGTCACTACTATTATTTCAAATTATTATTCTCATCATTTGAAATTACCATTATTATTATTAAAATTTCTTCTATTTCAAAAATTTGTCTCGTTTCTTTTCTTTTTCTTGCATTTAAAATTTTTATTTTTTAAGAAAAACGAATATATAATTGTGATTGTTATCAGTTGCATTTTTGAAATGACTTGGCGTCATGTTTTAAATCGTATTTGTTACAAAAACTTTTTAAGAGAGTTATATAAATAAAAGATTATTTTATAATTTGTATATCATCTATTTATAAACATAAATGCGCTTTATATCATTGAAAGGTACAACTAAGATGAGGATTGACGAAAAATATCAACGCGCAATATCATGTCAAATGGATCAATACGAAAATGCGCGCACGTCCGTTTTCCTCACCCCCGGAGCAGCGACTTACGAGATAACTCCTGAATCGTGAGCTTGTTCGGTATGTTCGTCCCAAGTGGTGAATTGTCAATGATATTATCGTTCAAGATTAATTCTTCCCATCAATTCTTCACATTCCAATATTATATTTATCTTCATTTAAAATTTTATTGTCAGAATTAAAGTTTAATTGCTGACGAATCCCTGATGCGCCCTGATGTGTGAGAGTGAGTCTGCCCGGTTAGATCATCATGATGGGGACCCGATACGCATCATGTAATTATACATGTTTACTTCCTGCCTATAAAGAAAGAAATAAATTCTTGTACTGTAACTTATATATAGGATGGATCTGAATATATGGCACAACCAGAAAAGGGGATGATTTTACGACGTAAAATAAATGGAAATGATAGAGTATTGTTTTTTTTTTTTTTGGATTAAAATCTTGAGATTCTTTATTAACTTTTAGAAAGTAATTTTTAAAATTAATAAAATCATCTTCTTTACCGGTTGGTCGTGTATTTGGGCTTATCCTATATATACTTATATATTTTATGTACATTTTTTAAAAAGCAATGTATCTTTTTTCAACCTGAATTTTAATAAACAAACATAAATATATGAAAAAAACAGTAAAAATGTTTCTTATAAAATTGCAGATAGTCTAAAGCTAGCTAGCTTACACGATGCTTACCAACGACTACTTTATGGAACTCAGCCAATACCTTCCGGACTGGATATCGCAAACATATTAAAATATTTTTCTCAAACCTTGCTATGTAAGTGTTGTTAATTTATAAATAAATTTATATTTTTGAGGATTTAAACTATTTTTTAATCAATTGATTAATGTATTTAATAAATTAAAGTAAAAAAATGTGATTTTTTTTTAATTAATTAAGCTGCATGTAAACTAATGAGACTAAGAAATTGTAAATTTAAATTGATACAAATATTAAACACATTTTATTTTATAATATATTGAATTTATTGACAATTTTTTATGTGTTTTATTTTCATAAAAAAATATGAATATATGAAAATCTTAATTTCTGAAATTTCACTTCAGATCACATGTTATTAAATGACTGAAAACATAAATAAATACAAATGTTAATTAAATTCATTTCATTAAATGTTAACGAAAGTTTATCCAGTAGAAAAAATGTAGTTCTTAAAAAATTAATACAATCCATTCGTCAATTTAGCAAACATGTTATAACAAAAATTTTCAGGTCTGTTGAAAGAATCGTCCGTGTCGCCGTTCGACATGATCAAATCGCAGGAACTCGATGCAGACCGAATGGCATTATTCCCAAGTTTGGACTACAAGCAGCTTTACAATGCGTTGACGCAGATGATCGATGTCGTGCCATTGATCCACATCGGCCTGCCAGGTTTATCTCTGTCGACCATTATTACTAAGATGTTGTACAGGATGTAAAATTAGTATTACCTAAATATTTGATTTTAATGAACTCTGAAATACGAAAAGAACTTTCGTTTCTAAATCTCCAACAGTTCTAGAGAGAAAATAAACTCGATTAAGTACGACTCAATTTTACATCTTCCATATGATATAAGTAAAATTATTTTTATCTTTATTATTTTATATTTTGTTTTCTTTTATAATTATAAGCTACTACTTGTTTATAGTCTAATAATTCTTTCCTTTCGAGCTATTTTTATCAAACTATTTGAAAATAATAAATACAATTTATCGTTTCCAGCTTTTGGGAAAGCCTTGCTACAGTGTCTGGCATGCATGCTGCTGTTTCTCGATCACGATTTGATCGATAATTTGTCATACTTAACCGCTAGTACGATATCAGTACTTCCCGTGGAGTTGCACGAAGACATCGTCAATTATCTCTGTTTTTACATTTTACCGTTCACCATTAGTGAGTTTTCTCATTATATATTTGTATATATCAGCATTACTTGAATTTATAATTTATACGATAAGCACACATTCACTTGTCTTTCTAAGAGAGAAAAACAGCTGCCGGAAGGGAATGTGAGTGTGGAAAGAAAATTTTAGTATATACTTTATACCGATATATAGGAGCTTTCTTATTAAATTAAAAAAATTGGCTTGCCGGCTGAAAAACTAGTTGACGAAATGTAGAATAGTGCGTATCTTTTATTTTAGAATTAATATAATATATTTTACCGTAAGTTATTAAATCAAAGATTTAATATCTTTGTTTTTTATGCCACGACGGTTATCCACATGTCGATTGCAGCTAGTTATATTATTAAGATTTAATCAAAGCAATTGAAAGCTAATAGATAAAAAGCTAGAAAATTAATGGATTTTATTATACATATTTTAACTTTCAGCGAGAAAACCCGAGATTGGAGAGGAGAGTGCCGCTAGTCAATCAGTGGCCGCTGTTATAATGATGGTATTTCAATATTCCAGCAATCCAGGTGCGTGACAGGGAAAAGTATAAATTTAATGTAAACGTGTAATTAATTTCGAATTATTAGATAATTATTCCTCTCTATTCTAAGTTTCCTTATCATTACAGAAATATTTGTGTGAATGAAGATATTAAATTTCTTAATTAAATTTCTTAATAATATTACGAGAGAAAACATTTTCTCTTTTCTAGCACATCACTGTCAGTTGCTGGAGTGTCTGATGGCCTTGAAACCAGGAGTCGTGAAAGACATTCTTTGCGTTATCGCCTACGGCACTGCGTCGGCGAGAGCTTCAGCTGCGAAATTGTTGTTCTATTACTGGCCATCGTTTAATCCAAATCTGTTCGATCGCCGTGCGGTGTTGGTAAAATTTGCTAGTAAGTACTAGTATGACCAGGATGTGTCATACTTATTGACATAACGCTCGCACAAAACAAGTTAAACTAATAAATCCTTTACTATTTTATGATTTTTGCAATAATTCATAATCAAAAAACTTTCATGTATAATTAGTAAATATATTAGTTTATATAGAGTTTATATTTATATACTTTTTTATATACAATATTATAATTTATAAAAAGTCTGCCTTACTCTAAAAATTCTGGTATAATCGATGATATATATTATGTTTTATTTCAATGCATTTTGCATTCATAAATCCATTGCGTATAAGTAGAGTAAAAAAATAAAATATTGTAAGGGAAAAGGAAGTAAGATGAAGAAATAAAATGACGATTTATTATTTTTCTAAACCAATAATGAAAATGAGAATTTGATATTCAATTTAATAAAAACTTTTGACAAAAATACATAATAATTTGACTTTAATTTGTCTATAAAAATAAATAATCTGTTGACTAGAAATCTGTTGCACTCGTATATAATTTATTAGTGTTTGTTCACAAGGAAATATATAATTATAGTAAATACTTTCACTTTCTTTACGAAAGTACGATATAATAATTTCAAAACGTATGTAATAATTACATGTTAAGGTATATAATTACCTTAACGTATTAATATTTCTCATTTTCTGCATTGAAATACTTTCATGAAATGGATGAATAAATATGATAAGGGTATGATGATGACAGAGTAATAGCAGAGTAAAATGATTAATGTTACATGCGTGTAAGACGCATTAATTATTTTTGTTCTGCATTTAATTTAATTTTAGATTATATATACTTATAGATTATATATTGTAAATAATCATTTTTACTTTAATATCTTAGTAATTTTATTTAAGTTCAGATCACATAAGTAATATTTTTTGTTCTATTTACATTTTTTATTGCATTGAAATGTTGTAATATTATAAGCAACATTTATAAATCTTTTCATTTATAAAAAAATCTTTTTTTAACCGAATCTGACTTCTCTCATCATCTTATCTTTTATTAAAAATCTTATCTGTACATTGATTACCGATGAAATTTATATTTTAAAAAAATATAAATTTAATTCATTTATCAATTTTTGTAGATTGATATGAACTTTAGTCTCTGAAAATCTGAAAAAGTATGTCGTTATTTTTACATCATCACAGAAATTAAAAAAAAATAATTAAATCTTAAGATCGTCATTTTACTCTTTCTTTCTCTATATAATATATCGATATATATTCAAGACTAAAGATAGCAAGCAAATTCTAAAATACAACGTAATATTATAAACAAAATTATTAATTGTTTTTATTAATTAATTTTTAGACGACTTCACTCCATTTGTATGCCAACGAGATAGTTGCCCAAATGCCGGCAATGCGGAAGCTGCAAAAGTCTGTTACAATCATCATATTTCTATCACGTACGCCATCGAATCTCCACCCCCTCTCTATCTTTGCATCGAATGCGCGAATGAGATCCATCGGGAGCATCCGAATCAGATGTTTTGTGACATTTTGCATCCGATGCAACAAGTGTCCATGGTCTGCGAGAATAAGGTAAAATCTGAAAATTTACATAATTTAATGTTAAGTCAAATATTTAGAATTTGCCTGATATTTTTATTTTCCGTCCTTGATCCTGGCAGAATTGTAGGGGGGCGGACAAGTCGGCTATCAGCGTTTGCTTTTCCACCGAATGTGCGAGTTACAATGGGAATCATCCTATACGATATTGCCAACAGTGTCACAATATTCGTCACAACAATCGTCGTGGCGGTGATCACGTTTATCACATGGCACTCCCGCACATCTCGCAGTTGGATCCGCAAGCGCAGACTTATATGGTTCAGGCGATCGTCAGGCAAGCTATTAGAAAGGAATACTTGCTTAAATACTCAAAAATTGAGTCAGATACATATTTAAAAATAAGTCTATTGATCAAAATATCAAAATAATTAGTAATAAAGTGCATAAGGAATGAACAATACATTTATGACTTCCGAGAATTTCAAAATATCGTAAACCCTCTTTATAAAAAATCTTCAATATTGCAAAAGTCATTTTTTGCATATTAATTCTTAATTATTTTGGAAATCTGATATGTTGGAAAAATTTGCTTGCAATATCTAATTCTTAGCATCCAAAAATCTATAAGAAATATCTTGTCTGGTGTTAAAATAATCTTTTGCTATAAACTTATTTGATGACCTAACAAAATTAGATTCAGATTTATATCGGGCCAAATTTTTAAATATTTTAATAAACTATTCTTTTCATTTAATATTTAATTGGTTATAAACTCGACTCTCAGCTAAACGTGACTTTTTTATTTTGTAGTTTGCTCAGGGAAGCCGAGCCGATAAGTATTGATAGTAATCGCGACACGGATATAAGTGCTAGCACTAGCAATAAAGGTGGCTTAGGATTTGTAGGGAGTAGCAGTGGTGGAAGTGGTGGCGGTGGAGGTATCGGGAGTTCATTCGGTCATTGCGATCCTACAAGTTTGGAGGAACGACAGCTCCTCGGCAGATATGGCGTATGGCTACTAGTGGGACTTTGTACCCCTAACGAGGATACCCCGGTTGAAATACTGGGCCGTTTATTATCAATGTTATTTCATTGGTTTCATGTCACTGCCTACTGTTTCGATGGTATTGAAAAAAGACTTATACACCTTATCTTTTCTGTTGGTAATTTAACACTTTGCATATATACACTTTACTCAAGTAGACGTAGAGAGCCAGACGTAGGCAGTAGCGTGGTATGTCGGCTAAATATGTTGTAATATATACAAGGTGTAAGCATCCTCTGTGTATGCGTTGTAACATATAAAACATGCTATTTGTCTTCCTATTTGTTTCAAGAGAAACATTTATGTCGATATAAAATGTACACTGCCGACCAAAAGTTTAAAATCGAGTTTAAAAAATTCAATACCTTATTCAATATTTTTTCGCAATTTGAAAATAAATACATTTATACATTTATACATTTATATATACCGTTATACATTTAATACAATTTATGGGTAACATTGCTTAATTTCAAGAAAATGAAACTATCATAAGCTGTTTTTTTTAGAATATAAAGAACTTAAATTATAAATTAAATCTTCTGTCTTTTGCCAGAAGAAATAAATAAATTTATAATTAAATTAAATTTATAAAAAAGTGTAAGAGATTACTAACACTTGTAAAGAGTGTCTATGTATTCTTTAATATTTCTCATCTTGTATAAAATATTTCTGTAGAATTTTTAAACATTTTATATTACTCTTTATTTCATTATAAAATATTAAAAATAAAATAATAGCTATATTAAATACACAAAATGTTATTTCATGTAGTAGATATTTAAATTAATGTCTTAAACTTTTGGCCGGTAGTTATGTCTGTTTCTGAAATTAGGCTAAAAAGTATGCCTAAAATATTTAGCCGAATTAGATCTATTTCGTCTTACGAAATAGATTAAACGTGTAGAAAATATTAACTCGAGATTAAAGATTGCATGCAATGTATCAAAGATATCAGCACACAACTCGACACATATTCGGAACTTGCACTTAAGTGTTAACTTTGAAAGATTTAGCCTCGTTTTACTGCATGCCACAAATCCGGGAAACAATAAATGTCAAATCTATTCATGTGTTCCGATCGTATTGTATGTCGCTAGATTGATAGTTTAACCCTAAGTCAATTTTAATAGCTTTACTTTCTTGCAAGCAATTTTCGACTTATTGAAAATATTTCAGGCCAAGCGGAGAGCGCGCTGGAGAAGTTGAAAACGGAGTACGTTTGCGAATGGCTCTCAGAAGTTATGAAAACGCATTACGAAGTGTTTATTTCCTGTCTTCTACCACATCCCGCGGACTATGTCAGAGTTGGAGGTCACTGGTAAAGGAGAAATTTGCATTTTTATGAAATAAATAATATAATGTGTATGATTAAAATTATATATCTACTTATCAAAGGTCTGAACATACACTATTTTTTCCGGTTAAATTAAAAGCAACAGAAATAAGCTTTCAAAAATATTTTATTGAATAATTTTATTGAAATATTTTATTGTAACAAAAGAAATAATTTATTATTTTTATTATTATTAATTAGTTATTATTTATTTTATTATTATTAAATAAATTTTAAAAATATTTTATTATATCAAAATAATTTAAAATATTTTTAAAAGCTTGCTTGTTCCGTTACTTTTAATTTAACCAAAAGAAATAATGTGTGCTCGGACATTTGACAAAATAGTATATAATAATAAACAACATTGTTGCAATTATTTATTTGATTAAATATTAGATTTAATACTAAATTGTGTTAACGTATGACTGATTGTATAACGTATAATTGATCCTACTCATTATCTCGTTGAAAGGGAAACCTTGGCTTCAAGAACATCGCATTTGAAAGACGGGTTGCATCGATTATTTTGTCTGGTACCATACGAAGTAATTACGCCCGACATATGGGATTACGTGATGCCGCATTGGATGGAAGCGGTGGTAAATGACGTTCCCGAAAATGAACTTCAGGAGCTAAAGATAATACTGAGGTGTGCGCTTTATCTTTAAGAGATCCCTTACTCAGAATTTTCTAAGTCTACGTGAGAAACACTTGTTCATTCACATTACAGCAAGATCTTGGATCGGGACATGAATTCCTTAGGATTTGACGTGAAGAAGATGTATAACTTTATAGCGAAGCGATTCGTCAATACGAGCGCTAAAGTACAAGAGCAGGCTCTTCATTGGTTGCAAACACTTACCATGCTGGAAATAACGTTACCCCTGGACCAACTGTTTTCAATATTCAGCGACGGAGTTGCCGTCATGCAGTCGATGAACTCGGCGGAGTCAGAATTGAAACCGAGCAAATCTACAAAGGAAGACGATGAAAACATTACATGTATGACATTATAATTATACCGATTATTACTATATCTTCAACGAAAAATGTCGGAAAAATCTTGTTGAAAGAAAATAGAAATGTTAATGGAATTTTTTATTAGAAATGTCAAGACATATTTGTTATGTGATCTTATAAAGTATAGTCTCATAATGTCTAGGTCCCATAGTGGAAAATGATTCAGGGAAATCAACGCCACTTTCTGATGATGTAGTTCCAACGCCAAGACACATGGAATTTATGACGAACGCAGAACTTAATTTGTCTTGTTGTATTCTCATGCTTGATATATTATTGAAACAGGCAAGATACAAATCTCGCATAAAGGATTAACTGTGTATTAGCAACATCTATAAAGTTCTTCTTCTTCTTTATGCAATAGAAAAGTAAAGAAACATTTGACTTTGACAGATGGAACTTCAGAATGTGGACAAGCATACTGGAATTAATACACGGGTCTGCCGAGATGCTTGTCATTTGATGAAATCTATAGTTGCGTCCAACTGGAATAACTGTCACGTCTGCGACACATCGGACATTGAATGTTCTTATTGCGAGTCGAGGGTGATTTGGCATCAGCTATGTCTACAATTGATTACTTACATGGTACCGGAAAATCCAGCATATCCACCTGATGTTAGTGATTTCTAATACAATATAATTCATAATTAGTGGGAAAATGTGATAAAATATTTATAAAAATAATAATTTACCTTTTTTTCGATTTGAAGAATATTTTTACATCACATTGCAAAAACAAGATATTTACAAATATACGTTCTCATTTTTCAGACAATCGTAGATGAAATCGCGGAAGATAATGCTCGTAAAAGTCCGGAAACGACGAGGAAGGGCGATTCGAAGCCGGATGTGGTCATCAACATGCCGGTACCGGAAATGCATTCCGTCGGTGGGGTCTTAGTTCACATGCCACACGTACGTCTCTTAAATAAATTTTAAAATGGCGAATTCTCAACGCTAATGTTTAATGTTTGTCTCATTGAGGATTAAAATTCCGTGACTTTTATCGAAAAGAGAAAAAGGAAATAAAAGAGGAAACTTGCTCCGCGATGAGATAAACATTATAGAAAAAAAAAAAAAAAAAACAAAGAAAATGTTGTCTCTAATGTCACTGCGTATTACACAATCCTTCATTAATAAAGCAGCATGCTACTTGAAACTGTCTTAACTGTGTATGTGTGTCCGTATGCGCTTCTCTCTATCTGTCTCTTCTTCTACGACACGGCCCGATCACAAAGACACGGTAGGCTAATCTATGTTATCGGAATAGCTATTTTGATCGTTTATGTCAGTTCTTCGAACAGATTATGACAGCGACAGTAGAGACAGTTTCGGAACAGCTGGACCTCGCAGCCATCATGCCAACGGAGAAGATTATGTCCGCCGTCGCGAGAACGGTTACGCTATCGGAAACGGATGTTGGTAAGCCAATACTCTATGTATACTACTTGTTTTCAAAAATTTTAGCACATCATTTTTTTCAATATAAATTTAACATGAGAATAGAATACTGATAGCAAGTACTCGATAAGGCAAGATCTTTGGCGCCTGATAATTCTTTTCTGGATTTATATATAAATTCAAGATATTTGTTTTTGTTGCTATGTGCCATTATTTTTAACGGACTTGAAATATAGCTGCTTAAAATCAAAGCAAAAAATTTGAATCTTTCCTTTTTAATAAATCAATAATCAAATTAAAATGTTATAAATTATTGCTCTTCCTTCCACGAAAAATTCGTTTAGAGAAGACATTTATATTTCTTTTGTATTAAAATATTTTTAAAATTTTTATTTGTGTTCTATTATTCTTAATTTAATCGAAAAAAATATTATGTGCTTTTGACAAGTAGTGTATGCCGCTTTTTAATAATTATATATTGATAATAATTGTTATATAAATACCATGTGCTTTTAGCTACCGCTACAGTGAGCGTAGCAAAACCACATTTAATAGGCGAAAATGATGAACCAGTAAGCCTAAGTCCAGAAGCTGATTCGGACGATTTTTGGCACACTTCTGTGGGAAAGTTTCGTTTTACAATAGAAGAATTACCAGAACAGCTTCAATATATTCACAAACTACTGAAGGTATTAATACTGCATTGTGAATCAACGATCGGATGATATATAATATAATATATATAGAATTATACTTAATATATATATATATATATAGATATATACGCATAGAATATACTTAAATTAACACGTTGAATACCAGACTAAAACTTTTTCTCTGTTTGATATATATATATATATTTGAATTTAAAACAAATAATAAAAAACAATCAAACTTATGTTTATATGTGCACTTCATATTTTAGAATATTAAGTTTATAATTAATTATCTACTCCACCAATTTATAATTAATTATAATTACACAATTACAAATGATTATTTATAATTTTATCTATTTTTATCGAGTCGAATACCAGGTTACTGAAGCTTAACATATTAATTTATTTAATAATTGAGTAGTTAAAAGTCATAATATTAATAATCTTATAATTATAAAAATAATGTCATCTCCAAGATTGATTGAAAATTACTGTCGATAAAAATTTTCTTTACAGGAAATAATGACGATCGACAAACCAGATATCCTTTATTATATGCTGCAGTGTTTGAATGTAATGTGCCTGTATGGTGATGCATTTAACACAGCAGTGAAGGATCACCAAGGATTCTTCATATGGTGCCAAGAGAATTTATTAATAAAGAAGTATGTATTAGACACATCGAGATGTTTCTCTTGGAAGTAAGCAGCGATGGAAAAAAACACGAGAACTTGATTTCAATCTTCTTAATCCTTTATTACCCCATTCTAGTTTATGGGAGCTCCTTAATGCAGAGCATTCGCACATAGCGCAAGTGACCGTTCCATTGTTATTGCATTGTGTAACATTACCCTGCGGCACTGATACTTTCTGGCGGCTTGTACAAGAAGAATTTCACAATTCCGATTGGCGTATTAGATTCGTCGCAGGTAATCACATATAATTTGGAATGGCAAACTGATTATTTTTAATGTCTGTATATTCCAAGAATTTTACATTTATTATTATTAACTAATTTCTTTTATCATTATTCTAATTCTAGATATTCGCATAGAGATTACTTTAAATATTATATATTATTCTATTTTACTTTTTAACTTTTGTGTCTTACTTTACAACTTTAGATTAAAAAAAAATAAACTTATATTTTTTATATTTCAGTCGAGCGCGTCACGTTAATCGCGAGATTCATGGACTCGACACCATTGCGGAACATCTTAAGTCTTCAAGCTGCGTTAGCAAATGCATTCTGTTATTTAATTACGAGCATGGATGACAACAATGTATATGTTGCGCAGCGTGCAACATTATATCTCGGTACCATTCATGACACAGCAATTAGGGTAAATTTTATTATCCTTATATCATATACTTGAAACTTTGTTTATCGGGAATACAATTTTTAAATGAAGCTTGTTGTGTTTACTCGTTATTAGGAAACTATTACATATATATTACATATGATTTCTCAATCTTGAAAAGAAAAATAATTTTTTATATTGAAATTATTTATAAATTTTGCAGTCATTAATTTTATGCTTGGAGACACAATTTGATTCCGTAATCGTAGACCGGCCAATGGTATTGCAATCACTTTACCAACTACACAATAGCTTAAGCGATCGACGTATTTTGACGTGGGAATTTTTCCTGAATCGATTTGATACGCTATTTCTCGAGGCTCAAATCAACTTGGAGAAATCAGGAGATGTGGCTTACTTACGTGGTTGGTATTATCTCGTCAGCGAAAAAGAATACAAATCTCTCGCGGCGTTCTACATCAATAAGAGGATTGTATTAAAAGATTGTAGTAAAATCTGTCCTGAGTGAACTTTTTCGTTGTAGATCTGAAAAATACAGATCTGAACAGCGAAGTGTTCATGAAGAAATTGCATCGCGTTCACGAGGCATTGTCTCAGTCTGACGGCAGCGGGACGAGTTCCGTAAAGACGCTGAGCGCGAGTTTCGGCACCAAGTGGCCCTACAAGCGTACAATGTCGGCACCGGCCTCGATGATACCACGACAAGACACCAAGCAAGGTACGTAATCCCACCTGCGTACTTGCGCTTCTCTCAATCCTTATCCCTCTCGCCTCTACGCGCACATCACAAACTATCGTACACTGTGTGTTACTTCTCTCCTTTTGTTTTCCGCATCTTTCACGCAGAAAAGGAAAAGGTCTACAGCCGACAATATTCCGCGCCGATCTTGAAAAGGAAGAGCTCGAGATTCGGATTGGGTCAGTTGTTGGGGTCCACCCCGCCTAATAACAGTATTCCAGGTAGAGTAGCGTGTGTTGCCTGCGTAGCTGTAGACGGGACATAAGTGTGAGCGCGCAAAAAATATGTTGCTCGTTTGTATTACACGGTCTATTAAAGGATGTTAAAGCAATCGACTCCAGATGGATTCGTTCGGTCGAATAGGTCGAACGGTAAGTAGCAAAAGAGTCGCAGAATCTCGTCAGAGATGCTTTAGCGATGCTTATTGATGTGTATTAAGTGTAAAAATCAGTAGCTTCCGATCGATTCGCTTTGCGAGCTCATGAAGCAAATCGATCGATCGAGTTGTGGATTCACGAATTGCTTGTAAATGTATCTACATAAGTGATAACGAAGATTTAATAATAAAATCAATTTTCCTTCGTAAAATATGTAGACTTGACTAGGAAGAATTTTTTAGAAAGCTTTTATGAGATATAATAATAATATCCTTTACATTTAAGATATGGCTTTGAATTAATGGTCTGCTTTTCCTTCATATCGCTTCAATTATATAGCTTTCAATATAAAATGTGACTCGCATGCTTTTTCTTTGCTATTTAGCATAAACTTATGATTTACTTAGCGTACATTTATGATGAATTTTTTTGAATTGTGAAAAAATGACATAGATAGATATAGAAGTATAGTCAGCATTAAATTATTCTTACTCTATGTAGATCTTATTTCCTTCTTTTTAGCAAATCTCTCCAGTCTGCAGAGCATAAATTAATATTAGAAAATCTTACAGATGGTCACATACATTCGCTGAATATGGTCGATGAAGCTAGTACGTTACCAGGATACACTCACAAAATCGTGGATCTTGAAGAAGCAGACAAAGAAACCATGCATCTGTTGGTCTTTCTTCTAATGCAATTTCTTTCGAGACAGGATCAGGTAGCAAAAATGGAACATTTGTAATAAAATTACAAATTACATTTAATATGAAATATTTACAAATGACAATACATTTCTCAACTTTGCTTTCGTCATTCAAATTTGTACATCGATATCATTTTAATTAGGCCTATCCAACGGACGAGAAACCTATGTCAAAAACTCAAGGCATAGTCTTGCGACATTTATATCTTCTTTTGGGATACAATCAGACTGAGCGCACTTTTCACACCACTCCGCAACGTCTAAGGTAAGATTTTCATAATTCCTATCACCTATCACCTTACACTTGATTGTTTAAATTAGATAATATAAAAATTCTCAGACATAATGATTGTAAAAAAATATTGCAAACAAATAAACAAGAATCAATCTTAAAAGTCAATCAAAGCGTGCATCAAATAAGCGTGCACTTATTTTTCTTGTATCAATTTATTTTTACATTTTTAATCGGCTTAATATTTGTAACAATATGATGTTGAAATTATTACAGGCTTTCGCCGGCGTTTAATGTCTTCATTGCCAATTTGCCACAACTGTTAGATCAAAATCATGTGATAGGATGGCTGATGACGTCACCAGTTCTGGCGATATTGCAATATTGTCCTTGCCCTCCGCAAGCTACACCCCCAACTGATCATCAACCACCAAGTTACAGTCTTTGGTATCTGGAGCCACACATCAGGCGGTCTTGGTTAATGTCTCTGCTTGTTATCTTATACAAGGTGAAAAGGCTTATACGATAAAAAAATAATGCAATATTATATATAACACTGCTCTAGAAAAAAAAGAGTAAATTTATGTAAATATATATCGCCGGTAAAAAGTTTGTGACCATTGATTAAAAATATCTGCTATAAATAACGAATTAATTTCTCACTTAACAATAATAGCAACGATAAATCGCTCTTTTTAGTGTCAATATGGACAACAGCCGTGGTGTAGTCAGCTTCAAACGCTAGTGAAGATAGTGTTGAATACACTCAACACACAGCATCATCAGTGCAAGCGGATACCGGCGACTGTAGTTATGGGCGCACCACCCTCCAGATCTCGTGGTGAGAATTTAGATAAGATTAAAAAATTGTAAATATCTTCTCTCGGCAAATAAGTAGAAGCAATATGTTTCTCAGACGTGTCTCAACCTTCGCTTGGAGTGGAACACGAACTGACAACGAACACAGTGGGCGAGATAGACACGGAAACACCGCCGATGCGTGCAATCTCGGTGCATCAACGCAGTCCCGGAGGGATGCACGGACAAATGGAAACTCATTGGGAAGAGAATAACAGTCCGGCTTGTCGTTATTTCAACAAACACTTTACCAGGTCAATAAATTTCCAATCGTACAATCAGAACTGTGCAAAAAAGGCATCGTCTCAGGATTTTCCATATTAAGGAGCCCTAAAATTTTAGTTAAAGTAATAATTATTTTTTAATTAAAATAATCAAAGATTGTGAATTTAATTTTTTACTTAATAATTGGATAAAAATAATTCTACTTCATTATAGAATGAAAGAATTTTTTTTTATATTTTTAAACAAATATAACTACGAAGCATTTTTATATTTTAAGAATATTTTTTAAAAATCTGTTCTTATTTATTAAATAAATATATAATTATAAAAATATTTTTATAGTTTCATTATATTATCTATTTTTATTTTTACTTTTAAAAACAATTTATTTATAAGTAAGTGTTATGAGAGTTTCGGTTATATTTTTTAATCTCTTTTAAGCTCTTTTAATATCAAATTTGAAAACAAATAAAGGGCTCCTTTTTTATTTTTAGCATAAATTTTTTGCACAGTTCTGCATACAATTCTATTATATTTGAAACAATTTATTACTCTTGCATAGAGAATTGCGGCAAAAGATTATATAGTTAGAAAGTAGACATTGAATAGTAATTATTAGTATTACCGATTATTACTTTCAGAAAATTATTATTGTGATTTATATGTATATCGCCTAGTAATCGATTCTAATTTTCTTTTTAGATAATATTTAATAAATGTATCGTATTAATATTTTGTTAGACGCTTCTGTGTCTTTATTTAAGTAGTGGCATGTTACAATTTGTCGCTATTGCGAATGCCTTTGCGAAGCTATTCGATCAATGCGGATGATACGGAGTCCGAGTTGGCAGCGATCCCTGAGAGCCCGAAATCTGACAGCACCTTACATGGCAATAGCGGAGGATCTCTTGGGGAGCTAGAAGAAACGGTCCCTAGAAACGCATCTCTTCAGGAACCGCAAATGTCCATCGTGTCAGATGGAACGAGCATGATTGAGCCGAACAATCGAAATATTAATAAGCCGAAGACGGAATCCGTTACAAAACCTATATGGTTCTTGGGAAACGAAGATGAAGTTTGCCAGGTTATTATTACAAAGCAACCTGTTAACAATATAATATATGAGCAGAGAAAACTAATTTCAAATAAGATAAGAATTTATTTTATTTTTATGGCAAAAGATAAAATTAATTATTAATGTTAGCAAAATATTAATTATTACTATAATCATAGATATAGACAAATGAAATATTATTTTATATTATAAATATATAATTAAAATTGACATCTATTGCAGCATAATATTGAAATTATAATTTTTATAATTATAAAAATTGATAAAAGTTAACGGCGTTTTAAAAACATGCTTTTTCCAGGGAAATAAAAGCGGCCCTCAAAAGAAATGGAGTGTGTACGAAGGAGTGAAGATGATGGTAACGAGCACATTTCTCACTGGACAACAGGAACCTCCCAGATTTCCGTCTAAAGCAGCCTTGCCGCCAATAAAAAATGGCAAAGGACACTTACCTTACAATGGAGACTCATCGAAAGCATATGATTTATCAAGCGCTTTCACTCTTGCAACCAGCATTTCTCACATTCAACGGTAAAATTGGATACCTTTCCATTTTATTATTTAATGCAACTTGTAAACCATCTTTCAGAGATTTGAAACCTACAACTCGCCCCTTCCCCTGGTCCATGATAATTTTATATTAATATTGATATAAAAATATATTTATACTTTAAATTTCCAGATCCGATTTACCAAAAGAGAAAGATAAAGGAACGGAGAAGGAGAAAGCGAAGGAGAAAGAAAAGGAAAAAGAAAAGGAGAAGGAGAAGGAAACAGAAAAAGAGAAGGAAATGGAACTGGAGAAGGAGAAAGAAAAGGAAAAAGAGAAGGAAAAGGCATTTGTGAAAATTGCAGGAACCATCAATAATATCGAGCCTTTGAACTCGAAGCATTTAGGTAGACAGAAACATGTGGAACAAATCACAATTACAGCGACGTCGCCAGTTTCACCTTGTCAAGTAATTACAGTGACAAATAGCGATCACTCGAGCTCGCCAGCACTGAGTTCTTCCATATCATCGCAAGTCATAAGTATCGAGAATGGACAGCAAACAGGTGGTCCTCCTACCAGTCCGCAGCCATTGATGACTACTCCGACTGTCGAACGATTGCTTCCCATTGGTACAATAGTCCGCGCGACTGGTAAGTGATTTGCATCATCGTCAATGTGTAAGAAGTAAGATAAACGACAATCTCTTATAGGATCACGAACAGCACAACGTGTATTAAAATGCGAAGATACGTATGGCTCTCCGGAATCGCCGTTATCAAAAATGGACATTTTGACAGTCAGTGAGTAAACATTCAAAGCGATCACGGAACGGCAAAATTAATCGAGCGAGTTTTAAAAGTGAAAAGCAATAAAAACAAGCTTGTCCAATCTAATGGAATTGAAGTGAATTTTATAATTTTGTAGGTTCCTCATTTGAACAAGATAGCGAGACCTGCATGTCCAGCGATATCACGAGTCCACACAGCATGTCCCAGTTGGAATTTCCAACGCCCGAACGATTGTTGCCAGTTGGTCCTCAGAGAGATTTCCCCAGCTTAGTCGAGCGAGTACGTCAAGCTCTCGATATTTCAGATGTCGAAGGTTTGTTGAAGACGCATCAGTTTGAAGATTTCTGCGCGATAATAATCGTTTATGTGCATATCGAGTGTTTTTATTATCTACAATATTTCTTCTTGAAATTAATCCTAATCTTTGCCACATAGCTTGTTGAAAATTTATTTATAATACAGAAATTCTTCTCTGGATTCTTCTTATAAATTTCAAATTTCGACTATTTATTTATAGATACTTTGAGATATTTCTTTTTTAGATATGAATAAATCGAATGAGGATGCAAAACACGGCATTCGTGACTTGGCACTCATGAAGCAGGATAGCGGAACATCTGACAATGTGGTAAGTATATTTTCAATTGATTCTTTTATAATGTTGACTCACAAATGCACAGAATATTTATTTCTGGGACAATATAAATCTGCAAAGATGAGATATCTTATATTTATGAATCTCTTCTTTCCCACACAGTCAACATCACTCGTACCAACTTGCAATGAAGTTAACTCGAGCAGATCGCCGAGTCCAAGAAGGCTAATTAAACAAGTGGCTTTGGAGTCATCTCCACCAGCGATCGACCCCGGAGACTTCGTCTCAAAAATAGCAGACTATGACCAGAGGATTAAGTCGAAGGATCAATTTCGAATTCAACGTGACAGAGTGCGGAAGATCACTGCTATAACGGACCAAGATGCAATTACTCATACAAGGCGAATGGAATCTTGGTAAACTTCTTATGTTATTAGTAGAGGAAAATCATCTATACTAACATAAATTTTCTAAAGAGATTCTCCCTTATTTTTTGGAATCTAAACAATGTATTTTATTAGTATTAAAAACATGATCTACTTGAATAATGAAAAAAATAAAATCATAATTTATCTTGATTTGTTTCTATAAAATTAGCTAAAAAGTTCTTTAAATGCAAAAATAATGTCTATGGTTTTTTTTTAATTACATACTTTAAACAGTACTAAATATTGATAATATTGTCATTTGCCATATTTGTAGTTTCTTATTTGATTTATATTTGGCTTTTTCTTTTTTCTTATATAGTGCGCTTTTAAACATAAAATCGGCTTGCAGCATAAACCGGCACATGTCTCGGTAATTGTGTATTTTTTAATAAATTATTTTCCCAGTCTGTAAACTATGTTTTTATTTTTAAAATTCTTTAAAAATCTTTAATTTTAATCTTCCAATTTTATAAAATTTATTGTTTTATATGTAGAAATATATATTTTACTTTATAATTAATTAATTTATTTTATATTCAGTTAAATTACACAGTTTCTTATTTTTTGTATCATATTATTAAATTTTCATCAATTTATACTTACCTCTGCAATCAATAATGTCAGGAATGATTCACATATTTAAATTCTAGCACCACTTTTATTGTATCACTTTTCAATTTTTCAAATATTTATTTTTAGCTTTTGTTTAACAAATGTTTAAAAAGTTTAAAAAAAATGGTATGTCGATGTCAGCAATGTTTTTTTATTTTATTGATTAAATTATGTAAATAATTATTATATCTGTATATTATGTATATACATAATTATATGTACGTATGTATATTATATCTGTATATATCTGTATATTATATCTGTATAAATCTGTATATTATATCTGTATAAATCTGTATATTATATCTGTACATCATATCTGTATATCCTTTTGTCAATAGGTCGGGCACACAAGCCCAACAAAATTTAGACTTTGTCTCTCAACAAGCGTGTCATGCGGACTTTAATTTAAAGCAGAGCTTATTTCGTATCGGTGACGATTGCGTTTACGACAGGTAGTATTATAGTTATTAAACAAGGATATCATTAGATCAAATTATCAGCATTGTTTGATGATCGAGTTTGATTTGTCTATCACTATTACAGATGTTCGGAATGCGGAACGATAAGGGAAGAGTATTCCGACGAAGAGCTCGGATTGTGTATAATAACTTTAGGAACATTTATTCATCGAGAGCCATCTCTAGCGGCGCCGTTATTGCCAGAAATACTCGGCGTAGTTACTAAGTATAGAAAAATACTATTTTTGAATACTAAATTTTTAATATGATGAAATAAAATGCTAACGTATTGTGCGTTTAGGATTGCTCTCAACTCAATGTATCCTTGGCAAAGCGAAACGAATATGCATCTTCCGGGTGGTGCGGTCAGCGTAGCGCACCAATTTCTCAGATGCGTTCTCCATCAATTAGCGCCGAATGGAGTATTTATGCAAATGTTTCAGACTCATCTAAACGGTAAAAATATTATGCTGTCAGTTGTAGCTTTGTAGCTAAGTCACTAAATAAATTTTTCTAATTCTCTAATTTTTAATATAAATGTATAAGTCTTCTAATATCAATATCTTTAAAAAATTTTAGTTAACAATAATTTCTTGCTTTTGTAATAATATTTTTTCGACTTGCAGAAACGACTAGGTTGCAATTTTTCAAAAGCGTCGCGCAAGCTTTAGTCGATTTCAACGAGTTAAATCCGATCGCTCCCTTGCAATTACTGCTTGAGGTAAGAGAGCAATTTAATTACACACGAAAATTATTAATTAAAGGATTAGTTTCAAAAATTAGATTAATTCAAAATGTAATTTTCATTAACCTAAAAGGAACTTTCTACCTATATTTATCTCAAATCCTAAGATCTGAATATTTTTAATATATAATATCTAATTTTTATAGAATTGCTTATATAGTATGATTTTTCCGATTTTAGGTAAATTCGAATAAATAATTATGATTATTTGATTAAGATAATATCATAAACAAAAATTTGTTAACTTGTCTAGTTTGTGAAATCAACCCTTCAATTATTTCTGTAACTCATTAAATGTGTTTTTTATATTGTTAAAATGTGTGAAGGAATGAATTACACTTGTTCTGAAAAATTCGATTTCAGACTTTAAACATGAAAAAATCATTGCCGCTGGAACGGCTACCAATAATATTATATAACATCGCATGTTACTTGGATTGTTTACCACTGGAAGCAGGATTGGGTCCTGGTGCAGCAACATGGAGTGGATTGCTAACACAATTCGATGGATTATTCCGAAGACTCGTTCTTATGCTTCCTTCTATTGAGGATATCACTCCTCTTTTACGAATTATGATTTCGATATTAAAAGTTCCAGGGATTCAACAATCAAAGGTATGAGACTTTCCCCTCTTTTTGTTTTATTAATTAAATAAAATTATTGTAGCCTTATTAAATTATTTACATTATATTGAATTAATACTACAACTCGATATTCTTTTAGGGAATGTTGGATCCATTTTCTAAAATATTAAGTTACGCTATACAAAACTCAACATTGCAGTATAATTATTTAACAGATCTATGCTACTTGTGCCACAGAGGATTTACTCGTGATCGCGATAAACACTTTTTTGGTAGGACAATTGTATTTGAATTAATTCAGGCCATTAAATTTAAAATTACGATACCAGACTCCAACTTTTTGTTACTCCTACAGTTTGTGCTCCAAGTAAATAATTGTTATATTTACAATTATAATTAAAAATTGACATAAATTGATATAAGATAATATAATAACGTATTAATAATAATGCAGGATATCGGAGGATCCTTGCCTAATAGTGTCGTCGCGATGGAAAATAATATTCAAACGGACATGTCGCCGATCTACAACACGAACGCCTCTGAATCTTTAAAGAATCAGTTGTCAGAAGTTCTCGAATTTTTAACTGACTTTCATACCTTAAGTAAGATCAAGGTAAACGCATTTAATAACACATGCACGTACGTAAAACTCGGTCGTATTAATTAATAAGCAGAATCCTGCAAAATTTACCTTCACCGCTATTTAAAGAACTTCTCTGTCTTCAGAGCTACAACAAAGGTATGCAAGCGGGATTAAACGAGGACACGATAGGCGGGATGTTAAAGTGTGGCCTTGCTCAATATGTAGCTTTAGAAATTACGAGAGGCAACAATAGAGAGAACAGAGCCGTGGCGCGTTACTTGCCGTGGTTATATACCGCACCGTCTATACAGCAAGGGTAATTTTCATCATGATCCTTCTAAAATTGCATTTTTCTCGTTATTAGCTTCATCTAATTAATTATGGAAAAACCAATTGAACATGATTTCTTTCTGAACATTTCAGAGCCCGCGAATACGTCGACTGTATAGGCCACATCAGACTCTTGTCTTGGCTGTTATTAGGATCGCTTACACACATAGCAATGTACACTGGCAACAATAACAGTCATTCACATTCAACGGTACCATTGGCGCAACCGATACCTCAAGAGGTGTCTTGCCACATCGCAGATCACATACAAGTCATCTTCTCTGGATTTCCAGAACAATCGAAGACCTCGGTTCTCCACATGTCATCGCTCTTCCACGCGTTCATTCTTTGCCAAGTATTTATATCTTAGATTGCAATATGTTTGGAATTGTTAACGTTGGAAGTACCAAGTGATCGTTTCTGACTATTCTTATTTTTTTTCTAATTAATATTTATTTCTAATATCAAAAAAATAAGATTCTAAAATTGACTTTAATATTCGAGCAGGATAAAAAGGGTAATGGATAAATAATTAAAAAATTTCCAAATTTTATCTTTAATATGAGAAGAAATATAGTTACAAGAAATAGAAATGATCAAAAACAATTTCTACTATTAAATAGTATATTCTGCTGAATTTGCATTAATGGAACTTTACGTTGCGGCCTTAGCTTTGGACGATGTACTTGGAAGAGTTGTCGAAGAATAACGCAACGAACAGCGAGAGTCACAATGTCACCATGAATATTTTGTTAGAATTTTGGGGCAAGATAACGCCGTGCATTTTGCAACTCGTTTCCTATTCGAAAGCCGTAAGTCTAGTGTTCTCGATATTGTCTAATTTAAAATTCTACCTACCTTCGAAATTGACACATTTCGAAATGATCTTAAGGCAATGACATAAAAAGACAATATGACTTTCAGCTATCTGAAATGCTTAATTTGCATTTCCTAAGCTTATTGGAGGCTTTGTTGGAATGTGGATCGATTCTGCTGAGTAAATTATTACCTCTGTGGAATGCCATATTATTTTCTCATCATGTCCAGGTAAGAACAAAGAAATAAAAGAGAACAATCGGAGCAGAAAGATAAAATACCTACAATCGTTGGTCTGTTTCATTTTTCAGTTACCAGGACACTTACACATGCGTCTGCAAAATTGCCGCGATTTCCCACCAAACAGAATGGCAGAGAATTTCGTTTCTAATCGAAGAGAATCGAACGCGATACTTCTACGATGGTTGCACCGTCTACAGTTTAAGATGGGCCAAATAGAAATGCAATCCTCTACCGCCACGCAATTCTATTCTATTTAAAGAAGAGAAAGAGGAACTTAAAAATCAGTTTTTAAATTAAATGGTCCTACATTAGCCAAAATATGACGGAAAGAAATAAAAGAAAATTAATTGTTAGAAAAATAGACCTTTAAATTATAATTATTGTAAATAACTTTAATAAATTATATTTAGATTATGATGTTATATGTTATTTTTCATATTATATGTATTGCATGTGAATATTTCTTATTATAGTGAACACATTTATTTGTCGAATCTTTTTCTCAATACATATTATAATTTTATAAATATCCTTTACACTTAATATCTGAATTTAATATCCGAATTAATTTTTATTTCAAATCCCTTTATATTATTTAAAATTATGATAAAAATATAAGACTTCATTGAAAAATAATTTTTATTGGATAGTATTATTTTATCGAATACAAAGAAAATTTGAGTCAATTTTGTTAAATTAATTAAATACAGATACAGTGAATAAACAATTAAAAAAGTGCTTTGAAATTCGATATTAATAGCGTGTTCATGCATTTACAATACATAATTTAAATACTATGTGCATGGTTGTTACTTAATGATCGTAGAAAAATTTCGATTAAGTTAATATTCCAAATTTTACACAATTTTATACCGTTGTTGTTGTTGTTGTTGTCGCTAGTCCTTTTGGTTTAATCATCATTAATGCACGTTTTAAAGTATAATCCCAACCTCTCCATCGGAACCATACAATACCTTTAGCAACAACATAATTTTTATTTGCAGATTGTATGTAAAAATTCAAATCTGATAATTTACGATTTTGTTTGTAATTTTAATATTTATGACAATTATAATACTAGTAAATTAATTATTTATAAATTATAAACGTACCTTGTCGTGCAGTAAGATCTTGTGGATCATTTAAATAAAGGCCATTTAAGCCACGTCCACAAGATTTCCACCACCAACCACCCTTGAGCATTGAAGCGCAATTCAAGGACGATCTATCATTATCCCTAAATACATAGATATAGATATAATTTAAATCTAACAAGTTCTCATAATAAATAGTTTTGCATGTCATCATGATGATGTAAGAAAGTCTACTTTACTTATTATTATATAATACAAATGTTCTACTTTATCTTTGTTATATAAGACTCGCCGTATACTCGCCTGTTATACGTGGAGAAAGGGCTGTTGTTCGATCCGTACCAAGGATCATTCAATGAATCCCCGGCGTTTCCTTCGTAACCATCTATCTCCAATTTATAATACTCTCCCTCGGAGTAAATCTTAAAATGTGAATATTGCGCGTACCTAAATAAAAACATATTACAATTACGATATAATCGATACATTTCAGATTTATCGCACAATCTACTGCCAGGACGAAAACTGTAAGACTACGTATCCGTTGTTAGTACCCAACTCAACAGTAGAAGAAAACAACGATAATCAATCTACAGTTTAGGCATATACCTTTTGTTACCTTCGAAGTCCTCAAGTTCGACTCTGAGCATGTAATCTTCATTATTTGTTAACATATATATATTTTCATTGCCCAGCCAAAATTCCTTGGCGGGATCTCCAAATCCGTTTTTATAATCTGCCCAATCTCTATTAAAGTTCTCCCTTGGCTCTCCGAAATCATCTCTCCTTTGAATAACCTTTAAACACAAATTTGCTGTACACTTTGAACACTAACCGTTCATATGAGGATATTAATTATAATGTCCAATTTCACTTATGTATACTTCTTATTCAAATTTTCAATAAATAAGAGCATGATAAAATTTAATAACATTTTTATTAATATTTGATATAGATAAACTCACTGTCCAACCACCATCGGCGATTTCTTGTTCGCAGTAGACCTTGAGGAACCAATACGTCGTACCGCGTATTTGTAGATAATATACCCCACTATCTCTCATTCCTCCGTTTAATAAATCCACGCAGGAATAGCCCTGATATTTACAATATGCAAAAAATAATATTAAGAAAAAAATTAAAAATTAGATAGATATAATTATTACTTATTTTCTTTCTCCTTTTTTTTAGAATGAATCTCGCAAAAAGTAATCAAATGAAATCAAATGAAAGTAAAGAGATATATCAAAATATCAAAAAACAATAATTTTATAATAAATCTTATTACTGCTTATCACATGCTTTACCAACTTCGAGATAGCTTTTTGAGATGTTTTTTTTCAAAAAGAAGAACCAGTTATGAAAAAGAATGAGTTATTAAAGTACCTTGATGTCCTTATAATTAATTAATACGTCGCTTATGAAAGTTGAATTTGCTAAACTCGGTTTGTTCTTGACACTCGGGAATATCACACCCCGATTTCTGCCACTCGGTCTCGCGGTACTCGAAGATGTTGCGGTCATGGGTGTCGTGGAACTGGTAGGATTGTTCGAGGGTGAAGCAACGGATGATATTGATGTTGTAGTTGACAAGGGTGGTGAGGTGGTTGGTAGCGTAGACGTGGGCATCTCCGTTACAAAATCTTCACTTACGCTCACGTATCTTGATATAAAAAATAACGTTTTGGCATCAACTGTTTCTTCTGTTCACATTATCGAAAGTACTTTCGACGCAATGGAGAAATTCGCCGAAAGTTTACGGGGAACAAGTAAATTGTGCAGTCGATCGTCACTTTTAAAATCTACTTTTTTCAAAATCAAAAAGTACAATTACAGAAATACAGGTATAAAAGAAAATTATTCTTATATCGTTACATTATAACAATATATTATAGCCATCGCGTCGCAATCTCCTCGGTGATTATTTTCTAAGATATTTAATGCGAAAAGTTCTTACCTGCTTGGATCATATTCAACGAGCCGATCGATTGTTGGATCCAATAGTAATTCTGCCGGAATCGGGCGTTGCGCTAAAGTGGCCACGTCATCCTCTTGCTTCCTCAAGCGGCTTTCGACACCCTCCAGGTTTTCTATAATCTTATTCGTTTTCGATCTCAGATCGGCGTGAATTTCGCTAATCGCTCTCTCCTGCCTCTGCGTTTGAGTGAGTAACTCGTCTGATTTTGGCAGTAGATCGTCCACTGAGCTCTTGGTCCCCATCTAATTAACATTATGTTATTCTTGCGTATCATTATCGCTCAAAATCGACTCGTAATAGTTCTGCTTGTTCAATCAATATATATTTGCATTTCCTAGTTAGCCAAATATTCTGACATACATCTTTTTTATATTCGAGACTTACCACTACGTTCCAAACTTGATCCATCTTCTCAGAGACGGTAAGCATCGGATACATTTGCTCGACGAGACGGTCGATTTTACTTTGTTTCGTCGGGGCTTCGGTCGTTGTCAAATTAAGACGATTTTGCCGATTGTTCTCGTTATTTTTCTCGACAATAGCCTCGTGCACGTCGCTGATCATATTGTACACCGCTCCAAGATTATCCGACACCAGATTCATATGGAACTGTAACTTTCGATCCATGCTACCAGTCGCTTGCTTAAGATTCTCGATCTCGAGTGTCATATGGTTCATCACCTCGTTACTCATAGCCTTGGTGATCTCGATGACGCTCATACTGACGGGTTTCTTCTCGCTCGCTTCGGCATTTATATCGTCGTTTTGCAAGAAATTGTTGTCGAGCTGATTCTTAAGATTGACAAGCTTATGATCGATGTCGGAAACTTTCTGATCTAGGGAAATCAATTTTTCGCCGAGGGTCTCCGGACCCTGATCGTTTCTATCGTGATGAATCACGCGTATCAACGGGGCTGTAACATATCAGTTTAACAGTTGTGCAACCCGGATTTTGATTTTTCGGATTAGTCCTTTCACAAAAGTAAAAAAGTATAAGAAATTGAATCTGCTTGAAACGAATTAATTAATTCGAATTATCTCTATCTGTGCGTGCTGCGAGAGTTCGCGTTTCTCATTATCTCAAATATTTTAACGTAATATAGAAAAATTATTTACGTCGCGTGCAGAAGAGAAAAACTATTAAACCACCAAGTAGCTTTGTAATGTGATGTACATATACTTACTATCTTCCGTACTACTTCCGCTCTTACTTTCGGTAATCCTCGTTACAGTTTCCGTAGACATAATAGGATACGCATTGAAAAGCTTCAAATCTAGTGTCCTTAGTTTAGTGATGACCGCATCTGTCTTGTCAATGTTATCATTTACGCGTGAATCTAAAGCCTCTACTCTTCTCATTAAATGCTCCACCGCTTTATCTAAATTCTCGATTCGTTGCAATTTTGATTCCAAAGTTGATACTATCACCTCGAAGACATTGAAAAGGTATTGCTCCCTACAACAAACGATATTCATCGTCTTCGTTTAATTGTTATCTCAGATAATTCTCAGAGCCGTTCTGCCAACGGACGCTCTTGAAATAATAAAATAAATTTGAATAATAATTTCCCTCCGATCGCCACTGAATAAATACTTGTTAATAATTTTGTCATAAATTTTGTTGATAATTTAGCCATTTTTGGCAATAATTTTATTATAATTTCATCAGGGGAGAATTATTTTATTAGTAATTTCCTCGTTATTAAACGTTAAATAAGAAAGTCTCTTATATGGCATCGCGAATCGGACATTCGCCACGGCTCTCAATCGTTCCTACTGAAGATACATCGCACTTAATGTCATTAAAGTAAAGCTACGACATCGCGTGATGCACGATTATGAATACATTCGCGAACTAAATGGAAAGTTTCATAAGCGGGGTATCGGCAAGCTTTGGGAGTATGATCGACTGGTTTACGTAACCAGCATTTAACTTCGGTTCTCCCGTCTATAAGAGATCTGTTATTACGGTTCATTTCGTACCTTAATCCTCCTCGCATAAAATGAAAGAGAAGATAATGTTCATTTAAGTAAAAAA